CCGCCGTGCGGAGGAAGAGGAAAGGGAGCCCCCGCGTGGGAAGGAAGAGGAACGACGGGAGCCCGCGTGCAGGAAGAGGGGGGGCAGGAAGTCCCGGGCAGGGGAAGAGGAAGAGGGAGGCCCCTGCGTGCAGGAAGGAGGAAGAATGGAGGCCCCCGTGTGAAGAATTGAGGAAGACAGACCCCCCTCCCCCCAGCAGGAAGGAGGAAGAAGGGCCCCCTGCGTGCAGGAAGCAGGAAGGGGGAGGCCCGCTTCAGGAAGAGGAAGAGGAAGGCCCCCGTGTGCAGGAAGAGGAAGAGGGAGGCCCCTGCGTGCAGGAAGAGGAAGAATGAGGCCCCCGTGTGAAGGAAGAGGAAGACAGAGCCCCCCCGAGCAGGAAGAGGAAGAAGGAGGCCCCCTGCGTGCAGGAAGAGGAAGAGGGAGGCCCCCGCGTGCAGGAAGAGGAAGACGGAGCCCCCCCCCAGTGCAGGAAGAAGATGAGGGAGGCCCCCCGAGTGCAGGAAGAGGAAGAGGGAGGCCCCCCTCGTGAAGGAAGAGGAAGAGGGAAGCCCCCTAGTGCAGGAAGAGGAAGAAGGAGGCCCCCCGAGTGCAGGAAGAGGAAGAGGGAGGCCCCCGCGTGCAGGAAGAGGAAGAGGGAAGCCCCCGCGTGCAGGAAGAGGAAGGTCCCCGCATGCAGGAAGAGGAAGAGGGAGGCCCCTGCGTGAAGGAAGAGGAAGAATGAGACCCCCGTGTGAAGGAAGAGGAAGAGGGAGGCCCCTGGCGTGAAGGAAGAGGAAGATGGAGCCCCCCCCAGTGCAGGAAGAGGAAGAAGGAGGCCCCCGTGTGAAGGAAGAGGAAGACGTAGCCCCCCGTGCAGGAAGAGGAAGAAGGAGGCCCCCTGCGTGCAGGAAGAGGAAGAGGGAAGCCCCGGCGTGCAGGAAAAGGAAGAGGGAGGTCCCCGCATGCAGTAAGAGGGAGGCCCCTGCATGCAGGAAGAGGAAGAGGGAGGCCCCCCCCCAGTGCAGGAAGAGGAAGAGGGAGGCCCCCTGTGTGCAGGAAGAGGAAGAGGGAGGCCCCCGGCGTGAAGGAAGAGGAAGATGGAGCCCCCCCCAGTGCAGGAAGAGGAATTAGGAGGCCCCCTGCGTGCAGGAAGAGGAAGAGGGAGGCCCCCGCGTGCAGGAAGAGGGAGGCACCCGCGTGCAGGAAGAGGAAGAGGGAGGCCCCGGCATGCAGGAAGAGGAAGAGGGAGGTATCCACGTGCAGGAAGAGGAAGAGGGAGGCCCCCGGCGTGAAGGAAGAGGAAGATGGAGCCCCCCCAGTGCAGGAAGAGGAATTAGGAGGCCCCCTGCGTGCAGGAAGAGGAAGAGGGAGGCCCCCGGGTGCAGGAAGAGGGAGGCACCCGCGTGCAGGAAGAGGAAGAGGGAGGCCCCCGCGTGAAGGAAGAGGAAGACGGAGCCCCCCCCCAGTGCAGGAAGAGGAAGAAGGAGGCCCCCCGAGTGCAGGAAGAGGAAGAGGGAGGCCCCTGCGTGAAGGAAGAGGAAGAGGGAGCCCCCCCCCGTGCAGGAAGAGGGAGGCCCCCGCGTGCAGGAAGAGGAAGAGGGAGGCCCTCGCGTGCAGCAAGAAGAAGAGGGAGGCCCCCGCGTGCAGGAAGAGGAAGAGGGAGGCCCCCCCCAGTGCAGGAAGAGGAAGAGGGAGGCCCCCTGTGTGCAGGAAGAGGAAGAGGGAGGTCTCGGCGTGCAGGAAGAGGGAGGCCCTCGTGTGCAGGAAGAGGAAGAGGGAGGCCCTGGGTGCAGGAAGAGGGAGGCCGCGTGCGGCGCGCACAGGGACCGGCCTCACAGTCTGCACCTCGGGAAAGACAAGTGTTCTGCCTACTTTAAGTCAAAGTAGATTATATTTTTCAGTATGAATGCACAATCAAAACCGAGCAGATGTTTAAGGAGGAGGAAAGGGAAAAGACCGGGAAGGCGTCCCGAGAGCGGCCGTGGAAAGGAAAAAGACCGGGAAGGCGTCCCGAGAGCGGCCGTGGCGAGGACACACCGGGCGCAGCTTTGCCCCTGGGGCAGCGAGCCAGCTCGCGCACGCGCACTGTATCTGAAGAGATGTCCGCATAAGTTTTTCTGACTCGAAATGCGTTTTCCTCTTGTCTTCCTGGGTGTCCTGTCTCCTGATTTGCCTTCAAAACTCCCATCTACTCTTCCTCAGTTTCCCTTGTCTGCGCTCCCTCCTCCACGTGGCCTTCAAAGGCGGATGCTGATCCGCGCTTCCGCGGGACGCCTTCTCCCAACTGAAGAAGCCCTGTCGCGCCCTCGTTAGAGAGCGGGTGACGCCGCGCACGGCTGTCCTCGAGGAGCCGGCGGTCCGTGGCGAAGGGAAACTGAGGAACGGGAAGCGCGGGCGCGCACGGCGCCGCCCCGTCAGCGTCCAGGGCTGTGGGACGCCACCTCGTCCTTCCGTGGCCCGAGGTCACCGTGGGACTGGGGCCAGCGGGCGGGCGGGAGAGCCAGGCGGGAGGAGGGCGGAGGGAACGCAAGCTGGAAACGGGGCAGGAGCCAGACGCTCCCCGCTCTCGGCTTCCAAGCCCGGGCGCGGCACTGGCGGCGAGAGTGGCGCCCCGCGTGGGACGCCCGGCGCCCGGGGCGGGCGCAACGCAGCCCACCCTTTCCTCGCCTCGCCGGTGTCCCCCGCTTCATTTCTGTTCTGGCCAAACCCTAACCCGAACCAGAACCCCGCAGGGAAGGGAATGCCGCGGAATGCAGCCCCAGCCCAGCTGAAGGGACAGCACGAAGCCATCAGCTTCCAGGTACTATGTGATGCTGGTTATAAATCACATTCTGCATAAATAAGAAAGTGGAAAGAAATGGGTTGTTTATAAAGTAGGATGCTAACCAATGAATTCCTTTACTGACTGAGCAGGAAAAGACAAAGTGAGATTACATGCGACCAGGCTGGTTCCTTGTCCCCGCGCCCTCCGGGCGCGCCCTGGTGCTGAGGGCAGAGAGGGTGGCCTTTCACCTGTGGGGCTCAGAGCCAGGCTCTCTCTTTCTGAAAGGAAACGCGGACTTCTGCTCGTAAGGATGCCAGCATTGTGACATAGTTTTTGATGACTGTGACAGGCTTCGCGCGCGGCGCTGCGATGGCTCCAGTCCGCTCTTGAGGGCACCCCGGGCCACACTGGACTCCAGCGGCTCGCGGTGAGTTCCCGTCTCCTTCCCTGTTTCGCGTCGCGCCGCCCTTCAGGCGCGTGTCAGACGGCCTGGCTTTGAATCCGGGTTCCCCACACGCTAGCCTTGTGACTTGAGCCGTTTTCTGTGACCTCATTTTCTAGTACGTGAAACCGTGGTGAGAATCGCATCACTTCACTGGGTCGCTGTGAAGACTGAACGAGAGACAGACGGAAATCAGGAGGAGAAGGCCCTAGGGGAAGGGAGGCTGCCCCAGAGCCGCTGGCACCGACCCTCGGCCCTCCCTGCCCAGCCCAGTGGAGCTCCCTGAGCCCGGCGCAGCTGCTAAAGTCTTGTGTTCCGGCACATTTTTGCAAGAATGAATTAAATAAGAATGCTTTGGACAGTTCCGAACCAATTTGTAAGTTTGTCTATCTTTGACATTAGACATTCTCATTCAATCTTATGGTTTAATTACTCTTAACATTCTGAAAATTCCCAAATGTACTTTGTTATTTTGAGCTCTGGACTTAAAGGCTGCCAAGTGTCTTCTGGAAGTTTCACCATCACCCTGAATGTAGTGTTTTCAAAGTAAAAGCCACAATTGGCACCCCTTCCATGCAATATTTTTTCCTAATTCAGCTCCTTAAACCACCCAGTTACTCGACTGATGCAGTGACGCCCTTGGCCACAGTCCTCTTGTCCTTGCCCACCTGACTTCTGTGAGCATCACTCTCCTGCTTGTCTAATAATCCCTTTTTATTGGCTTCTTAATATCAATGAAATATTTTCAGTTTATTCCCATCTTAAATAAAATTGGCCTTAAATCCTGTTCCATCTATTCCATATCTGCATAGTCCTTGGCCCTTTGAGTTGTGGTAATGATTTTCTACATCCAACGTTTTATTTTTCTCACTTGCTTTCATGATTAATTAAGATTGTTTATTTTTTGTTTCCAATCAACTACTAAAACAGTTTTTTCCAGAGTCAGCCACATTCTACTTGTATCTAATTTCAGTGGATTGTTTTTAAGCCTTTTCTTCACCGATGTGATAGCAGTAGGTGACACTCCTAAGTGCACCCTCCTTTGTGAAAAGTACCTGGTAAGTTTGATTTGAGGGATTCTACACTCTTAGTCTTGCCCATGGTCTGTCTTTTTTTTCTTCCTTCTTCCTTTTCCTTCTTTCTTTTCTTTTTTCCTTTTTCTTCTCCTGTTTTTTTATTTTTTCTCAACCTCCATTTAAGGCTCCTTTTCATCCTACCAAAAGATGAGTGTTCCTCACGGCTCTCTCCTAGGTCCTGTTCTGTTGTAAGAACCCACTGGCTTGGCTGTGCAGAAGCTTTTTCATTTGATCAGATCTTATTTATTCATTTTTGTTGTTGCTGTGATTGCCTTTGGGGTCTTCTTCGTAAATTGTTTCTGTAGGCCAATGTCCATAAGAGTTTTTCCAACGTTTTCTTCTAGAATTTTTATAGTTTCATGACTTAAGCTTAAGTCTGTTATCCACCATGAGTTGATTTTTGTGAGAGGTGAGAGGTGTGGATCCTATGGTTTCAGTCTTTTACATGTTGCTATCCCGTTTTCCAAGTACCATTTATTGAATAAGAATTATTTCTCCCAGTATATGCTTTTGTCTGCTTTGTCAAAGATTAGATGGCTATATGAGGATGGTTTTATATCTGAGTTCTCAGTTCTGTTCCATTGGTCTATGTCTCTGTTGTTGTGCCAGTACCAAGCTATTTTAGTTGCTATAACCTTGTAGTATAACTTGAAATACAACCTCTATGGAAAGTAATATGGAGATACCTCAAAGAGCTATAATTAGAGCTACCGTTTAATCCAGCAATCCCATTACTGGGCATCTAGTCAAAGAAAAAAAGACATTCTATAAAAATGACATATGTACTCGAACATTTATAGCAGCATAATTCACAATTGCAAAGATGTGAAAACAACCCAAGTGCCCATCAATCCATGAATGAATTAATAAAATATGGTATCTATATACCATGGAGTTCTACTCAGCCACAAAAAAAAAAACCACAAAAAAAAAAAAAAACGATGGTGACATACCACCTCTTGTATTTTCCTGGATAGAGCTGGAACCCATTCTACTAAGTGAAGTATTCCAAGAATGGAAAAACAAGCACCACATGTACTCACCATGTAGGGGTGGGGGATGGACACACTTGAAGCTCTGACTTGGGTGGGGCAGAAGCAATATATCTAACCTAAACATCTGTACCCCTGTAATATTTTGAAATAATAATAAAAGAACACACTGGCTGTCTCATTCACTGCTGTGTGTTCTGTAGTCATCAAATACCGACGAACCTTAAATCAGTGTCTGAAACAACATTTCCTGAGTTTAGACCAGGCTCCAAACGCTTCCTGGACATGCACACTGGGATCGCTCATCTACGCTTCAAACCCAGCAGGTCCCTGTTGCACTCACTGTCCTCCTGCACCTCCTGAATCTCCCCATTGCCTGGAGGTTCTCACCGCAGTGGAAGCTCCCATCATGTGCCTTCTCTTTCCTCTTCCGAATCTCAGCAACCACCAAGTCCAGCCATTGAACCAACCAAGTATTTCTCTAATCTGCGGTTTCTCTTTACATAGCTGAGTCTACACCTCCAAGCTGGCCCACCATCATCTCCCTCCTATTTATTGTAAAACTTCATTGTCAGTTTTTACCTTGGGCCTTTTTCCTTCCCATTGATGATCTATACAGTAGTCAAAATGATTCTTTTGAAATGAAAATCTTTACAATTACAGTTCACCTTTTAAAAACTTACAGGGCCCTTCCACTTCTCAGGTAAAAATCATACTCATTACTGATTTGCAAAAGTTTTACTGAGGAGTTTCTACTCATTACTACAACCTGGACTGCACTAATCTCCACCTACTATTCTGTTGTGTCCTGGAGCTCTTACTCATGGGAGCTCACCAGGCTCACTGCTGCCACCACCTCTCCTGGGACACTCATGCCGTCCCAGCTTGTGGCTGGTGATCCTTCCCCTAAGCGCAGGCCCTGAGAGGGCCTTCCCTGGCTCTGTCTGTGAGTAGTTCTGCCTTTGTATTCATTCTCACATGAAACTTGAATTTTCCCTAACATGGCGCAAAGAGCACTTTGACCAAGAAATTCTAAGAACCAGGAATCGCATACCTGCTTCTCATCACTGAAACTATAGTGCTTGGCCCAGGGCTGGCATTGAGCAGTAAAGTAACTATTGTTAATTACATTAACAAATGATTATTTGCCTAATCTATGATTATTATCCTTTTTTAAATTAACTTTCTCATTTCATTGATGGAAGATGCCTTTAAGAACATTATAAAGTAGTTATGCTGTCACCATCAAAACTTTTCTGAGTGTTCATTTTAATGGGACCATTGTGGAATTCCACAATAAAATATGATTTTAATTATTGTACAATATTTATTACATTAGGGAGCTATGGCTTACTTTTCATTTATTACTATGGCAATAAGAGATTTTTAAATTATGGATCAATTTTTAATTTTATCAAATATATCTTTTCTAAAGAAATATACCATAGTAGCATAATGACTAGTTGTATAAGTTCAGGCAAGTTTCTTCATTGCTTTATGAATCAGTTTTTTTATATGTAAAATATATAATTATACTGATGAAAGTAATTAATATAGCATATATGCTAAGCAAAGGAGTTCGAGTCAGAGGATAAAATATTGGCATTTAAAATTCAAGCAAAAAAATAGTTCCCAGTAATAACAAGGAGTGGAGCGTGGCCGCGCGATGGGTAGACAAGATGCAGTGGCACAGAAGGGAGCTAATCTGAGCCGCTCTAGGACAACAGCACCCTTCCCTGTGAGGAGAATCCAGCACTTTCTTATACAAAGACGGTGAGAATCCAGGGCTTTTCACCACTGAGCGAGGGAAGGGCACATTCCTACAATATTGCAGAGGACAGTTCACTATCAACTGTGAACTTTCATAGGTCACTCGTCTCCTCACGGTAGCTCTTACCGTAGTTGTCAATTTATGAGTGTGTGATCATTTGATGCACACCTGTCAGTCCGCTAGAGGATAAACTCCCTAAGGGGAAAATCCTACATTTTAAACTCCTTAAGGGGAAAACTCTACATTTGATATTGCTGACTATTTTATCATCTTCCCTTAACACAGGATCTGGCATACGTGTAGTAGAAACAAAATTATTAATAACATTTGGTTAATGAATAAAAGTTGTATTTATCTGATGATATATTTACCACTCAGAGTATTTTTATTGGGAGGATCAGTTCATAGAGATTCTTACTTTTTTCTCTATACAGTAGTGCACATTTTGCCTATTTTTACAAGGAACAAGTATTCATTAGGAAAAATAGGCAAAGATTTTTTTTGTAGGACTAGCCTGGAGACTGCAGGTTCCATGAAGCTGAGACTATTTCTGACTTTCCCAACAGCAGAGAGTCTGTCACAAAGGTGCAACTTGCATGATGAAAACCATACTTTATGCTGTCCCTGGGCATCCTGAAATATAGCATTTCAACCAGAGGATCAGGAATGTTCTACTCATTTCAGCAAATATAGCACAGGTTGTAGTGGCTTCATTGTCAATATCTATAAGTATAGCAGTCCTTATGGTAAAATTAAAATTGTAAGATCATTATATAAGCACTGGCCATCTCCTAATTTAATATTCAACTATTTGATCCCTTGATTCACTGTCATTCTTTTTATGTGTATATACAATATTAATTTTTCTGTGTTTCTCAGACAGAGTAACTAACATGTATTTTTTATTTTTCTGGATGTTCCTTATAAAGTCATATTTCAGAAGGATATAGCAAGTAAATGTTAGGAATTTTTGCTTAGGGCATTTTAAAATTGTTGGCATATTTCTGATTTGCAGATTAGTCTTTGTAAGTGTTCATATGGAATCGCAATGACTCCATGTAGTTCTTCTTAAATTGGCTATTTGCAACAAATAAACATTGGAAATTGAAAGAGAGAATCACTTATGTGTTGTAGATATACCCATGGGAAGCGTGCAGTCTCACAGTGATTGAGCAAGAGCGAGAAGATGGCAAAATGCAGAGCTCACAATTACCAGAGCACTAAAACTAATTTTAAAACATTGATGCTTGCAAGAAGGTCATCACTGTAGTCATTTCAAAATATCTACCCTTGAATACGTTTAAATACTAAAATCTCATTAACCATCAAGGAAAAGTGAAAAGGTGGTTAAGCCTTGGCTTGATTATTAATATTTTTCAGTTGCTTAAATCTTCCTGATGTACTGATTCCTGACTTACACTGATATATTGTTCAACTGGGGTATGTGTGAGTGTGTGAGTGTCTACACGTGTGTGTATGTGCATGTGTGTGTGTGTAAAATGGCTGATACACAGTTTACATAACACGTTGTGTAGGATATAAAGAACATTACTAAATGTTACAAATGGAAGAGAGTGAGGCTGTCATTCATGAAAAAATGCATGGTTTTTGATGTGAAGAGAGGACACAAGACTGTGACTGACAAGGAAGATGGGGTGAAGAGGGAACGTGAGCTGGCAGGGCACTTTCAGGAGGAGAAGAGGGTGGCTGTGATGACCTCCAGGTGGATGCCAGGCAGACCTTGCAGGGAGCGTGCAGCAGCGAGACACAGGCACAGGAAAGGTGTCTGAGCATATAGGCCACTGGGTCAGATTACAGCTCAAAGTGAGAGGCAGACGGACACTAATAAGGGAGGCTAATACAACCAGGAGAAGGAACTGCCCCTTTTAGGCACAGCTGGACACCTGATTAAGTCCTGAATAAACTATCACTCAGTTTATAAAGGCGAGTAACTATTATTGTGAAGGATCCCTGATGTGAACTGATAAGACTGCATGTAGGCGTCTATATGATCCTCAGTGCACGTTCCCTGCTTCTCTCAGCTGCCTTAGCCTCGCCTTCCCACATGGCTGTGGCGCTTCAAGAGCTAGGGTGGAGAGTCAGCACACACACCCACTACGCCCCTATTCTATTGAAAAGATGCAGGAACATCTGGCCACAGCTGTAACTCACAAAAGTGTGCCGAGCAGCTTCCCTTTTACACGCTTGTCTCAAGCAGG